TCCCTGGTGGGTTTCTCGTGGAACCTGGTTAATGACTTCCCCACACTCTCTTCCGGGACTCCGGAGATCCGCAGGCTCCGTCTCCTTGACCTGCCCCCCCCCCCAGATCCGTCAGTTTGGCCCCCAGCTGCGTCTGCCTCTGGCGCAGGTGTAAAAGCACGCCGTCTGTTTCTTCTCCCCTCACCTTCCATCTCATTTATCCTTTTATGTGTTCTGTTCAGTTCTTCAGTGAAGTCAGTTTTTTGTTTATATCCCTTCTGAAATCAATCAATTCAGTAAAGATTTTTGGAGGCCCACAGGGGACTCATGTTCTTCAGATTCTTCAGATTAGCACAGCCCATTGAGCCATTGGACCAGAAGCCACATTCTGTGCTTTTGACTATATATCCTTGTCTATCAGACTACAATATGTCCATATAAAGCAACTAATTCTTTCTCGCAAATAGACTCATTTTGTATTAAAAAGACCAATTACACCTATGTTTGTATTTTGTAAGTTTGTTTCTTCCATGGAACTCATCTACAGTGCACATCATCTACCAGGTGTTTGCCCAGTCTTGAATTTTATCTAAATCTTTTTCAATTTAATTTGTTCCTTTAAAGTGTTTGCCAGTCTTCCTATAGTCTAACTGGAAAAAGTGACTAGTTTACTATCTGTACCAGAATCTAGATCATTGATATAAATGAAAGAAGTGCAGGATCCCTGTGGATGCCCACTAATGAATCACCCTGAGTATTCTCCCCTTATTTGTACTCTGTTTACTATAAGCTAGTTTTCAGACCAAACACACACGTTTTCCTCAATGCCTACCTCCTGCAATCTCTAATGAGAAACTTCTGAAATACACCAGATCATATGCTCTGTGTATGTATCCATTACTATTGTTCAAATAACTCTAACAAGTTGGTTAGACCTTCCTTTTCTAAATACTTGTTGACTATTCCCTTGGGAATTATTTCCATGTTGTTAAACTTCTTGTTTCTAATAATTATGTCCATAACCTTGAATACAATTGATGTCAGACTTATTGATCTATAACTACTTTCAATGATATATCCCTGTGATTGATGGAGTTTGCTTGGCATTCCAAATGTTCCAAATTCTGAGGACCTCTTGTTTTTCAAAACATTTTAGCCGCAGAGGGTGAATTTTATTAGTTACATGAGACATAAAATCACCTCTATGCATCAGCGATATTTGAATATTATGCTTAAAATATGAAAGTGACAACTTCAAGTTGTCCTCATTATTTCCTAGTGTACTGTAGGAATATGAATAATGAGATTTGTCATAGTGCTTTGATTAAAAAAAAGTACTGCCAAATGATGTTGGGCAATATGTGTGCTTTACTCTACACTTCTATACAGCTTATTCTTTGTTTTATTAATTTCTGCCAAGAGTAACATTTAGTCCATTATCCTCGTCTGCACACTGGTGTTGGTGGATCTCCATTTTCCATTACCGGATTAATTTCTGGTGTTCTCAGTGTGTGCTGACATTGAAAATAATCCTTGCTGTATTGTTCCTTTTCATAGTATGTTCTGAGTTCTTAGATTTTAGGTCCCCAGCACACTCAATTTCAGGTGTGAATGGGGGTGGGGGGTACATTATCATAAAACAATGTAATGTCATTCTCTTTTCCAAGATGGCTGAAAACTTATTTCAGACTTTACACTGATTTTATTTTAATACCAACCACACTTGTTTTTGGAAACTGTTTCTGCATTTATTCTGTTGTCCAGATTAGCTCATGTAAAGGTAACAATGTACAAATGCTTCAGACCTTAGTATTTCTATAAAGTCTCATGTTTTAATGTGTAAATACTGCAGTTATTTAATTTCAGGTGGCTTGACACATGACCAGTACTATCATTACTTTGAAGGGAGTTGAGTCTATGAAACATTTCATATTTTTAACTTTTTTTGCTTTATTTTTTGAGCATTTCGTATCTTGTCATTTTAGAAATATTTTTTTTCTTCGCTTGCTTAAAATATTTGTTGCTAATGTGGTTTGTTATGTAGACAGTATATTGATGTATTTTAGTCTTTTAAAAGTAGTATTAAAATCAGCCAATAAAGTATTGTTGCTTCAACCCTCCAAGCACACACTGTTGTCGGCACACATGCAATTTTCTGATTAGACCAGGAAGAGTTTTAATTGGAAATTGCTCAGCTGTAATTAAGGTACCTATGGTACTGTATGACAAATGACGGTGTAGGAAATTGTCCTGCAGTTTCTCATTATCCTTACTCTAATCAGGTTTTAGCATGCTGGAATGAAATGTGAAGCCAACTCTTACTAAAATTGGCATGTAGTATTTTCTTCAGTTTATCATAGTTGTGTCAGAAAGATTTTTGCTGTAACACAGCACGTTTTATAACACAGGTTTAACTAAATGTAAAATTTAAAATTTGGTAACTTATTTAGAATAATCAGTACATTGTGTGTTATTAAACTAAGTGTTTTAAAATTCTAAATTATCAAAAAAGACTATTGCTTTTAATCTTAAAATATTTATATTCATTAAATTAATATTTTTCTTACTTTCTGCCCTGATCAGGCATTTTTTATTGTGAGCCCACAAAGTGGTTTCACCTGATAGGGTTTAAATGAGGTAAGTGGATGTATTTAGTATAGTAGATGACCATTTTCATTTATTTCATTTAGAAATAATGCTACCCCTGTTTATATTAATTGTGTGGTAATCGGCAAATCAAAGTTTTGCTCAATTAATTTACTAATGAAACAGATTAGAAACTTGCATTTTTTAGCAAATGTATAGATGGTGTGTTGGACTTTCTTCACATTATTAGTCAATTAAAAATATATAAAATTATAAAAAAGTACAAGGGCAACCTGTTGAATGATTCTTATCTAGTGGAGCAGACATGAAAAAAAAAACATTAAAATGAATCGGATGCCCTGTTGAAAGGCCTTTCCTAAGTGTGAAACATGTTTTAGTTTTGCAAAACTACATGGAAACTCCATTGTTTGTGAATGTAAGACTATGAAAAGTTAATGTAGTAATTCTCCATTCAGTTTCCGCCTCACAGTTTTCAACAGAACAATGGAAAGCTGGTGTCACTCAGTACCTCCACCCTAAAGCAAAATGAAGATTTTTCTCTTTATTGCTCAACAGGTGTTGAGCTCTTGTACTCAGTCTTCATCACCTATGCTTCCAAGGGATTTGAACGGCACCTTTTATCTCATTTAACTGCTACTGAATGTTTATCTTTGAAGTAGAAGGGACAAAGTGGCACTAAAATGCATTGTCATCAAACAGAACATCACAGTCATTGAGCACTGGGCCATGACGGCCTTACCCTGGGAACAGCCTGTCAAATTTATGATGTAGTATTTTTACAGGCAGATTAAATGGCTAGATTCTTATTATTTATAAGTTTCTGTTTCTACAGAAGAAAACAGAATTGTTTAAAAGCTGTTATACTTATACCAGACATGCTAAAATTTCATTAAAAAGTTATACAAATGGATAAAAGCTCCTGTTAAACACTGGGACATATGAAAGTGGTTATATCATGAAAGCTCTATTATATTCAAAATGCATTTTCTCCTAGACCAGTGCTTTAACCACTGATTGTGTGTAGATGTGAAAAACAGAAGGATGGAAGAGGTTAATGAATAGCATCTAAAAGTTTTTGGGAATTTCTCAAAAAGCAGTATTACAGCCTATTGACACTACAGCAAAGATTAAGTTCTTAACACCTAGGAAAGACCCCCACTAAGAATGACATCTTTTGAAGGAGAATGTGTTCAGTTAGCACAGAATGCAATCTTCTGTTGCTGTTTTTAGCATGAATGAAATGTGATTTTAGTGGCACACTGAAATCTCCTGTGGGTATCACCCTCTCTAGCTACAGCATATAAGTATTTTTAGCTAACAGAGGATGAAAAGACCAGGGCTCTTATTCACTCACAGGTATTTGTGACCCTCACTATCTTTTGTATGACTGAAAGACAACTATGTACTTTTTTACTAAAAGGGTTATGGGAAATTATGTTAATTATTACTTTCCACAGCCCTTTAACAAGTGCACTGTATTCCAGCTTCTGCACCTTCAAAGAAGAGCTGTGTCTAGAAAATTAGTCCAATTCAGAGAGAACTCCTTGTACTGTATGTCAATTTGAAATGGTACATTTTTAAAATGCTGAGAGCCAGGCCTGTTTTGGGATGCTTGGGGACTATGTTATATTTTCTGATGCAAATGTAATGTTTGGAGAGTTCTTGAGATGTAATCTTAGAAGCGTTACAGAAAAAAACAACAACAAATCACCTTCCTGTACCATTTAACATTATACCAATATTGTAATATTTCTGTCTGAAGTCCTTTGCATTTAATGGCTCCAACACTGCATCGGTAATAAATAATGTAAATGTCCCCTTTAGCCGTCAGTTCAAACATATGATGAACTGATGAATTCAGGGTAAAGTGTACTAGTAACAGTGTGTTGAATGGTGGCTCAGTGTTTAGCATTGCTGCCTCACAGTGCTGGGGCTCAGTTCCAGATCTGGGGTGCTATTGTATCCATTTGGGGTTTGTATGTTCTCTCCATGTTTGGATGGGTTTCCTCCAGGCGCTCCGGTTTCCTCCCAGTCCAAAATCATGCTGGTAGGCTGATTAGCTTCTGGGAAAATTGGCTTTGGTGTGAGTGCGTGCGTGTCTGTGCTTGTGTCTACCCTGTGATGGGCTGGCCTCCAGTCCAGGGTGTAGCCAGCATTGTGCCCTTTGCTTGCTGGCTCCCCTGCGATAGCGAATTGGAAGAAGCAGTTAGAAAATGGATGGGTGTAGTAGTGATAACTGCTTCTTCTTCATTTAAATTTGGTTTCTTATGGGCTTTGACAATAATGATACTGCATTGTTTGTTGGCAGAAAAAAAGTGTAATTATGAACATGCTGGTGGGCGTATTGAGAAGACTTTTTCATACTGTGGCTCGAGGTGCCCTATTTGATTGTCTCACTTTTGTGTTTTTTGCAGTTCAAGTGTTGTGGTGGGCAAGATTACAAAGATTGGGAGGTGAACATGTATCACAACTGCACAGCACCTGGACCGCTGGCCTGTGGAGTCCCCTACACCTGCTGCATCAACACCACGGTACGACAGAGTGACGTATCGCACAAGTCTCATTTGAGGGCAGAAAAATACAGTAGACACATAGTTATCTAGCTGTTGCATGTACTGTCTGTGACCATTTACATAAGGCATACTGTACCTTTAGATAATTGTCTTATTATTATTGACCTTGAAGTGGGCTGTGATTTTAACTGTATTAAATCACAATCACAGTTAATTTACTAGAAAGGATCTATATATTCAAGTTGTCTTTTTTAATGGTTTAGATATTTCCTATACATAGTCCCAGGACTCCTGACTGGCACAATGAATAAAAGCCATTATTCATTGCTAAGCAGTAATGAATAAACATCTCAACAGTAGGATGGACACTAAGACCCTATTCCAGGTTTCCAGCTGGGAAACTGCCTTTATCCCTGTTTTCGATCTCAAATCCAGCATATCTTTGAGAGCAGTTAGTAAAAGGAGGCTCTTAGATTGTGTACCAGGAAGAGAATACAGTTAAGCTAAATTGTTGTTAATACTTAGTGATAATAATTAACAGTAAAGAAATGACTGATTTACTCATCATTTTATATAAACCATGTATTTAAATGTTATTAAAGCATGTGACTGCACGTTCGAAGGCCTGTGTCCTTGAAAGAACTAATGCTCCACGTGACAAGGACCAGTTGATCTAGTTTCTGTAATATGGAGCACAGTTGTGTATAAAAAGCGCTTTATTTTTTACTCCGCTACAAACATTTCGTTCTCTAGATGGCACTCTTATGTTTGAAAAAACCAAAGTGGTTTATATAAAATAGTCTGTTATCGTTTTCCCAAGAAATGCCCGTCACACTTCACCCTAGTAGACTCAAAATCAGAATCCTAGATACATTCTCTGTACACTTAAGTTTGTCTGTTGTTGTCTATAAGATTTATATCTTCAAGAAACTAAAGTAAATGAAGTGTACTATATGTAATCCATCTGTCCGTTATCGGAAATGATCTTAGTACTGGTAAGGTCCTATCCTGGAAGGGTGGTGTTATACACTGAAAAATACTACTCCATTGCAGGCTTCATTCACAGCTCATACATACACACTAAAGCACATGGGGACCATTTAGAGATCTTAGCGGTCCTGGCATGTCTTTGGAGAATGGGACGAAATGGAAAACCCTGCAGAAGATCCACACAAACCTGGAGCCAATGTGCATATTCCCCTCGGAAAGAATTCCTACGAGTCCATAGTGGAAACCTGGACTCGAGGGCCAGCAAACACTAATCACCTGACTGCTCTGCCACCATGTTGACTGCTCTGGTAGAGCCAGATGGTTCTCTAAATCTTGTTAAATCAGGTCAATTAGGTCATTCAGAGAAGAGGAAGAACCCCACCGATGTTGCAGTCCTCCAGGACAGGATTAGTGTAACACTGAGTAAAAGTGCTTTTGATTTAGTTCTAGAATGTGATTGACAGATAATTGTTATTTGTGTTAAACACTGTAAAACCATTGTATTTCTAAAGAAAAGTCGTTAATTCAAGAATTGTGGTAAACTGACTAGCATCTTTCAAGGAATAGTGGAGAATGTACTCTTGAAAAAGGAAATTAAGTTTTAATCAGGTATAAAATATTATATCAAATATTAATGAAATCCATAATTATACTGAGCCACATTTAATGTCACATCACCTTAGGCAATCAATGTCTTTCACAGCTATTACCAGAAGGCTAGGGAGACCAAATCTAACTGCAGCTCAGAGTAAATGTATGAATGGCAGATTATTCTACAATACTAAATAAAATTGTTCAAAAGGGATAACATCTGCATTCTTTTTCTACAATATTTTTATCAGGCCTACTGTAATATATACATCCAGAAGGTGGACCCTAGAGCTTAAAAGTCCTTATTATTCTGCCTAAGCCTATAGTTAAACTTTCCTGCCATTTTACCTAGTTTGTGAGAATCTGACTTGGATTCATTGGACAGGTATAAGAGGAATTTTAAGGAGGAACATATGGTCTATGTAGGTCTTACAGACCTTCAAGATGAATGATCTTCAAAAAGAATAAAAAGAAATAACTGTAATTCTACTGCTGAAGCCATTTAATCTTTTTCTTTTGTACAGAATGTAAGCAGTTCATTCAGTTATCTCAGTACATTATCAGATATGTTATTGTGTACAAAAATGTGTTTGTTTTTTTATTTAAACCACATTTGTAAACAACCCTGATTGAGTGTTTGTTGACAGCGTATGTTATCTTCTTGTTGTCGGTTCTGAGAGACCTCTACAGTGCTTTACAGAACCTTCAGAAAAAAGCACTTAACAAGTCATGCTCAACTGTACATGATCTGGCTTTGCTCCATGGACAAAGTGTAGGCCAAAGTAAAGGGTAGACTACTGGATTAGTCAGTAATGGCTTCTGATGCCAGCCTGTCTATGTAGCCCCATTTCACACTGCCACTGCAATAATACCTGTTGCACTAATGCTAACATTTCAGTATTTTATAAACAGAGTTTCATAAATATTTCTTTGAAGCTTTTCAATAAGTGTTGCATTTGCATGCTTTAAAAAGAGTTAGTCTTGTTTTAAGATGCAGTACTTGTTAGCTTTGCTTTGGTCTCTGAGCGTCCTGTCTGTGCAGCCACTGAAAATGCACCCTGACAGCAAAATAACAACTGAAAAATTTAAATCTTGAGCAGACATGCTTCTAAACTGGAGCTGCGCTGTACTGTTTAAAACCAAAGTTGGATTTTGATTTCAAATGTTGGCAAAATAATTACATACAGTAGCTGCTAACTATATAAACAGAAACTCAAATTATCCTTGAATTTACATACTTGAGGAGAAACCTGAATGTTAGTAACATGATTGAATACATTTCCATCAATGAAACTGATTTGCCTTCTTTGAGATAGGAGGAATATCTGATTTGGGCTGCAAAAAATCTGAATATCAATAAGGAACCAAAGTCCACAACTGTAACTAAGAGGCAATATGGGAATACTTTATGGTAAAGGTCCCAGAGCAGAGTCCTGTGGAACACCCTAAATAAGTTTTAAAACGGATAGAAAGCAACCAGGCCTTACAATGTGACGCCTGCAAGCCAAATGGAAACCTCACTACTGGCAGGTACCAGTGCTCCCTGGATGATTTCCGTGTGATTCAGTAGGATACACTGATTGACAGTATGAAAACAAACCCCTTTACTTAAGTTCAGAAAGAAATTAATATCGATCGACCCCCAGTCCAAAACAATCAGCAAACTGCCTTAACAAGGAACAAGTAAAGTGTAATTCCATGCTGTGAAGCAAGTGTCTGAAGCTGTGACACACCTGAAGAAGGCTCAACAGCTGAATAATAGACCTTTCTGCTTTCCAGCGTGGAATTAACCTTGTCTTGTTCCTTTTCAGTCAACACACACTGAAGCAGCTCTCCATTCGAATACCTTAACAAGGGATGTTTCAGTATAAACAGAAGAAAAATAACTAAATAAGTAAAGGTATTATTCAAATAATATAGGTGTATTTAATAGGTTAACAATCTATATCAAAGAATTCTGAGTAATTTTGCTGCTAAAATTAATTGGAAGGGACTTTTGATTTTGCTCTATGTATGCAGATTATGCTGTACCGCCAGACTGTAGTTTGATTGTAGCTTCTATAATACAGTGTTTTTGTCACCTCACCATGCAGTGGCATGGGTTTGGAATTTCTTGTCCATGGGGAAGGGTGCCACCTACTGATCTTTCAACACCATATACAGCAGCAACCAGATGTCCCTTAGAAGTTTCCCTCACTCGTACTGACCAGACCCAGTCTGGCTTAGCTCCCGAGACTTGACTGGATCAGGCTACAAGGTGGTACTGATGTCAAATTATCCACTAATTAATTAATAATACAATTAAATGTTATTATTAAAAAATAAAACTTCTCTACTGGTAACAATCACTAAGCATTAAGAATTACTAAGGATCTATTCAAAACATATTTTTCCCACAACTTTCTGTTTCGAAAAGCAACAGGAATGAACAGATGGTAACAAAATTTTATGTTTAATGTCAAAACCAATTTTGACTTCCCATTTCGTTAACAGCACTTTGGTATGAAAGGCTTTGTGACTAACACTGCAGCCTTTAAGAGTGTAAAATGAGTACAGCTATTTCCAATATTTTTAGTATGAGCCAGGGCTTTTTTGCAAAAAAAAAAACAACCTAATTGCATTGCCCTTTTATAAATTCTAGTTTTTTTTTTTCCATCTAGCAACTATGCACTTTCTCCCCATCTGGTTCATCAATCCTCCCAGTAACAGATGTGCATCTGAATAATCTGATCCAAGTTACTGTGCTGTATTGAAAACTCATGAAACCTAGTGTGAAGTATTTTAAAATAGAGTAATTATAGCATTCTTTATCCAAGTTCATGCGCTTCTTAAAGGGCACTGCAGAAGCAGCAAATTGCTAGGTTACAAATGGAATGTAGGAGTTGCTGTGATTGCCCTAAATCCTACTGCAGACGCAATGGGCTACAGAATGGAGCGGTTATTGGTATCTGACTTTGCTCAAGATGCAGCACTGCAATCGCATATATTAGATATTGTCACACCATTGAAGCTGAAGGTAGATTTGAGCTTCCACCTCTCTAGTCAGATGGATTATATGATTTTAATGATAAAATCCAGGAATTGTTTGTTAATTTAAACTAATTTTATTAGAGAGTAAAAACAATTGTTTTGAAACACAGATACTGGGACATGACAGTTTTTAAAGGGGAATTACAGGAATTAAGGTTCTGTTTCAATTTTGCAATTGATGTGATGCAGAAAAGATGGATTAACATCTAGTTTGGTCTGGATTTCACATTAAAGTGAAATAATATAAAAATTAATGTTAACAATAGACCAGAGAAATCTTTGTTGTTGTTGTTGTTGTTGTTGTTGTTGTTGTTGTATTAAAGTGTGTGTTGTGAAAAGTAGACATCTCTTCTGTTTCTAAAGCTGCTTGTTTTAACATGGTTAAACATTCACTACTTGATAAACAT